ATATTACTACCCGACATATTAATAATATTTTATGCCATTGTTTTGTTTTTCACTTTGTTCTGACATCTTGCTGCGAGAAGAGTAAAGAGGAGATAGTCTGTGTGACTTACTTTAAATTGTGGGTAAGGGTAGATAGCTCCCATTGTTCTGTGACCTGTCAATCATCAAATCGTGGGTCATATTTCATTATGTGTTCATTTTTATCTGAAGTTGTAGCCTACCCATGGATGTATAAGAGTTCTACCGCAAAGTCATTCTCCGTGGGGACTTCCGGCAACAATCTTGATTCTGATTGGCCAGAAGACTCGAAAAAACATCAGAAAATATATTTTATTGAGAAGATGATCACTACGTGACAGAAGTTTTCAGAACCGTTTATGGTCTCCGGTACTTCCAGTCCAACGCCGACTAAATGCACAGCGTTAGAAAATCGGGCCTTCAAAATAAAAGTTTGACTTTTTTCCAAAAAAAAAAAAAAATGAATTCCAATTTTTTTGTTGTTGTTCTTCACTCACACATCCGCGACCCACTCGAAATGGGTCCGTGACCCACTTTTGGGTCGCGACCCACCAGTTGAGAACCACTGCCCTAGACAAGACAGTTCCCACAAAATTGCTCCTGTGGGGATTGCCCACAGTACTGAATGTATGTAAGTCGCTTTGGATAAAAGCATCTAACAAGTTACATGTAATTTAATGTAATTTAATGTTTTCCTTAAGAGTAGAAGTTAATTTAGAAATTATTAAAAGTTACATAAAGCTGGTGAATAACTGAGTTAAAAATAATAAAAAATCAAGTCACCCGATTATATTGAACAAGGTTTTGACATTGAAACAGAGATTACATATTCATATTGTTACAAAGCTGGAAGGCTGATATGCACTCAGTCTGTTTTTTCCATAAAGAAGAAACAGCTGTGCTGCAACCAAATTAAATAAAATTCTCCATTTACAATGGTGTGCATGTTAGGGTATGTTACTGATTTATTTGGAGCTTCATCTGGTTTTAAACACCAGAGATTATTAGAGATAATGGGTTTTTTAGGGTATGTTACTGATTTATTTGGAGCTTCATCTGGTTTTAAACACCAGAGATTATTAGAGATAATGGCTTTTCTAAAATCAATATCAAGGTTCAAGGTTCTTTATTTGTTAAACGAACATAGCTACAGTGAAGTTATGTCGATGAAAATCTTGTTTCACAGGCTTCTCCAATAGTGCAACACAGATATTGCACCTAAATGCATTTCATGTACATATTTGTACCAAAGGATTGTTGCTGTTGTTGGTTATTATATTCATTGAAGTTTGTTTGAGCATTTCTCTAATTAGGATAGCTGTTAATGTTAGTTCATTTCGCGGGCATTACCCAATAGGAGACCCTAAGCGAACCTGGCAAAAGTAGCCTTCATATGGATTTGCTTTTAAAGTGATATAGTTCTCATCATAACGTCAAACCGAATCAATACATAATTTCGATGTTGAAATGTAGATAAGATTGGCTCTGCTGTTCCTCACGAGCACCTCCCCTCCCTCCTCCTCACTGTGTGTCGCACGCAGGAAAGCTCAGTCAGATGGAGACTCCGGAAAGTCCGCGTGCAAACCAAGCCGGCGTCTGTCAGCATGAGCACCGTTCATATTGAGGATATTTCCACATTTATTTCAATTATTTCACTTATTGTATTAAACAGACAACCGTCAGGTGGTTCTCATTGCCTTCATTGGTGCTCACCATGGCTCGTGATCGGCGACACAAGAGGCGCGTGGATTGAACCGACTCAACCCCAGTGTGAGTATCTCCGTTCAACAAGATAATCTGTTACAAAAAGATTGTTTATCTGTTTGTTATTTTAATAGTTGATCACTCAGTTTTTTACTTGTTGCTTATTTCTCACCTTTTTAATAGTTGTTATAATACATCTTTAAAATAGTGGTAATGTGTTATCAGACATTGTGACAGTATTGATCTGTGTATGTATTGACAGCCTGTGCAGCCCATAGAAGCCTAAACTTTAATACAAAATTAGGAAAGACAAATATATAATCAAAATACTGCATACAATTCTTTAATAAGTGTCCAGAAAGTAGTCTTTCAATGCAATTCTATGGGTTAAAGGCTATGCAATGCTTGAAACTAATGTCCTCCTGGTTACATTTTTCCCCTCCGTGAACAGCTGCAGAATATCTTAGTGTCATGTCTCCAGGGGGGTAAACACTCTTGGTCTAGAAGACTGAACCAAAAACAGGACAGTGTCATGAGGCGAAGATAAACTGCTGTAAACATTTGTACACGCACTCCCAACATCTTGCGCTTATCTTGTCATTATTATTCTGTTTATTGTAAGATAACAAACCGAAGCATTCTCCAAAACATCTCAATATTTGACAGGAGACCCTGGATAATTTATTCTATTACATGATTCCTGTTATGCACCCCAGCAAACAAGCGTTGTTCGCTTCCAGCTCATTGCCATTTTTTTATATTTATGGTCTTGTGTTGATGTGTAAGATGTTTACACGCTCACAGTTTCCTTTTGACATTTAGTTCAATTTCCTCCCCTTGCTTTCCCCATTCTAGTTTATTGAGAGACTACAGCACAGCCGTTCTCTTGACAGTTAGGCCGATGACCTTTAGAACAAACCAGCCTCCGTGGACTCTTAGTGCAGCTTCGAAATCAGTTCAGTTATTGTTAATTGGATTTAGGGACAGTTTGTAGCCCCTCTACACCCTCCATAACTCTGCACATGCTAAACCATAACCCTGCTTCTGGACTGTCAGGTTTACTTGGCAAGAAGGTTGCCACCTGAGTTTACTGAACAAATATCTGGCTGAAGCTGCCGAGATGTCAAAGCATGCCTCTTTTGGCCAGAGCTGATGCTCGGAGGATTACGTAATGCTTCAAGTATGAGAGCGAGGGGGTTGAGCCATATCAGATTGTTTAGACTGGACTCTGGGGGTCCACCACAAATGGAAGAAAAATACTCTGTAACAGAGCGCATTGGGAATGTGGGAGGTTTGCATGATAACAAATTGTTTTGGCAACAACTCTGTGTTTCTATTTCAAGAGTTGCTCGTGTTTTACTTGAGATTAACACTTCTCAGTAATGCAAGATTGGCTCTAAAGTATTTCAGTTTTCGAATGAATGATTCTTTGAAGTCAAACTCTTATCTGCAGAAGTCACTCCCTTGTTTTCCTGCTCGAAATGTCTTGTAATTTCCCTGATTGATGATGTTTTTCTCTGGAATTTTTCTTCTTTGTTTATTTTTCTTTGCAATCCAATGATGTATGTTTGAACTTGATATCTCCAAAGAACTCAAATCAAAAGTTCATGAAATTGTCTTTAATTAGATGCAGAAAGGCTATAGCCCCGAATGAGTCATCAGCCAAGACAAATATTTTCCCTAATGTCTAAAAGCATTAGAACGTGAGATCGGGCAATGCTTGAAGTGAAACAGAAGTCATGAGTGATTGATAACACATCATTATGTTAATGCTGCAACAATTGTAGCGTAATTACAGGTTTAAAACCTGTGATTACTTATTAGATTTACCGAACACCTTTAAGAGGATTTTGAGTGTGGGAACAGATTTAGGTTCACAGAAGTTCACAAATAAATCCTCTGATCAAGCTGCTACATGTTATACTGTCATGGTTTGTGTGAGCAAACAGGATTTATAGTAGTAGGTTTTCACAGAAGCAGGTGAACGTTGCTGACTGATTCTGTCTTCAAGCGTTTTTTTAACGGCTGAATTAACAGCCAAATGTTCTTGTGGTTGCAACTCAACAAAAACATATTTCAGGTTTGAGAAGAGTTAAAGCTGAACTTTTGACACTCTTTGTTCCACCTTCAGATTAGGCAAATCAGTGGAAAGAATGTGATCTAATTGTTGTTGTATTTTATACTTGAATTATGGTGTTATCAACCAAAGATCATTAGCTATTTATTTGCCAAAACCTTTTATTTGATGTTCTCTTAGGATCAATTGGGTCTTGACATATGCAAGTACTCTGTGGCCAGATGTTTTTCACAAAAAGGAATTGGCATTCTCAGAATTCAACAATTAAATCTGTTAAGATCTTTTACAAGAAATGGGCTATTTCTTCATTGTCCCATGCTTCTACATTCTACCAAGTTCCTTTAATATCCGGTTAGTTGTTTTTCAGTAATCCTTCGGAAAAACTGACAAATCCAACTGAAAACATAACCACCTTGGTGGAAATCAAAATGACAACAATGCAAACATATTACTGAGCATCACAAAGTTGGTAGTGACTCTCTGGAACATGACCATACTTGCTGTATTTTTTACTTTGCAATGTGGGACATTTGCCAGAAGTTAAGGTAGACTCACTTACAAATAAACTGGAAATACTCTTTAAATGACCTCAGATCCATCTCCTGCCTTTAGACATGTCCAGCCCCTCTCCCTCACTCTCGTTAAACCGTAGGAAACATTTTTCAAGTGTCCTCTGCTTATTATTATTGTCACATCGGTTTTAAAGCGCTGCTAAAGCAAACAACCCGTTCCTGTAAGAAAAACACATGCATGCAAATATACACTCTTAGATGCATGAACAAATACACCGTTTAGCTTGAGAGGACAACATCTGCAGCCCAGATGTTGGTGTGGATTGTGGTGACCTGGCTGATCAAGACAGACACAAGAGGTTTAATATTTCTAGAGCTTTTCTTAGCATGCGTCTGCTTTGTTTAGACTGTCCTCATGCTTCAACCACCTGCTTGTTTAACAGATTAAGAAGTTACATTCCTAAGAGGCAACCGTCATTTTCCAGTGTATTTCTCCTTAGTAAGGAGTGACAAAGAAGGGGAGGGATGCAGTCCACTTCCTGAGATATTTGTGTTCTTAGAGAGCTTTTAGATTTCCTGTCAAAAAATGTGTCCATTATCTGATTATGGAAATGGCCTGAGAAAGATAACTCCCAGCGAGGAGGTTTATTCAAAATTATTTTGACTCTCGATTTCTTCTCCATCCACACGAAGTAAGTTCTATTATCACTGCAGTTTGGTATCCCATCAACAGGGAGGCCGTTTTATTTCCTTTTGTGGCATTAGTTTCTCTTGTACCTCCCATTTCCCAACGCTGGGATTCAGCCAAGTCCCAGTCATAGAGTGTACTGTACAAGGTCAGGATGTGTTTACACAGTTACAAACATGAAGACATGATTAAAACCTGTTCAGTAGATGTGAGAGTTTGTGTATAATGAATGCTGGTTCTTGTAACAGATTGTGTCCTCGTCATGTTGGATTCTTTCAAGGTGTTCTTCACATTCGTAGAAGCTCTATTTCATGCTGAAATGTAAACAAAAAAGATGCTTTGTCTTCATACAGCATGCAGCTTTTTGTCTCTGGAAGAGCTCTGCAGGGATGCTGATTTTCAATCGCTTTCATTTCTTTGCAGCAGAGACTCAGTTGAGGCTGATTGGAGTCATTTAGTCTTTTCTGAGCCTTATTTTCTGCCTTGAGTCAAGATTTCCGATGAGCTAACAAACAACCCAACCCATAGCATTAGCAACACGAGTAATATCTCATTCTGTCTTTGATAAATGAGTCTTGACATTTCGTGCACTTAGGACAACAAAGGCCTCTAATGCAATGATGAATGCAGGCTTTTATTTTGAGTCAGCAGGATTTTGATGATGGACTTTCACCTCAGTCAATCCCACCTGCTGTTTTTCTTCCCGCCGCAGATCGATTTTTGGCCTAAGAGGTCTAAAAGGCTATCTCTCCTGCTCTTTCTCACACTGTTCATTTTCATCTCTGCTCCTTCATTTCTTCATATTGTGATTTACCCTTAACTCAGTGTCCTCTTTATGCTCTGTCACATTTCCGAATCTCTCTCATGTGGAATTTTTCTTCAGACATCAATCTTGATGTATTATGGCTTCAGATATCAATTACCTCCATTTTTAGAAATACAAATGCAGAGGCAAGATCAAAATGAGGTAAGAGAACAGAAATATGATGTTTAACACATAATTAAAACAGGGCTATGGCAGATATCAGGATTGGTGAAAGCAGCATCCTTTACAAATAACTTAAAACTGTTAACCACTGTAGATGTCAAAGTAGTGTTAAGCAAGTAAGTTGTTGACATTTTAGTTAACGCACCGCAGATATTTCATTAAATGGGGCACATAACACACTAGAGGGATTACAAAAAGGTATTTGTCCAATCCGACGCAGGCCTGCAGATATTGCCATGCATTCCTTGTATGTCTGGAAGGGCTCAGAGCTGTCCCATTATGGACTCTACCTTTGAAAAGTCCTTTGAGCACACATTCGGCAGGTCCGCCAAATAATTTACGTGCACACAGGTCAAAAGCGTGCAATGAATATTTAGATGCTATAAATATGACGCCTGAAAATGTCTTAAAGGGGTACTCAACAATACAGTGTATCACGTCCATAAAGTTTTGGGACTAATAGGATAGGATTCAAACTAGCACAGACGGAGATATTCTGAGTGCTTCAAGCTCAAAAACACTTGATCCTACACTTCCCATAATGCAGCTTTATAGTTTCTTTCTTTGAACTCAATCTAGTTTTGTCACCTAACGTGACTAAGATGGAGTAGCACTCAATTTGACTGAGAATTTGCACCTTTAATGATGTAAGTGTGAACATGTTCCATAATGTTGGGCGCACGTTAACAGGCCCCTGTTGTGCAGTAAGAAAAACATTGTTAAATTACAGAGTTCACTACAACTGGTGCAGGATTTCATTCACAGCTCCTATGGGATTGTTAACACTCTGCAACAAAAGGAATACATTACTGGCTGAGGAAGAGTCTGAGAAGTGTTTTAAAAACATTTCACACTTCAATGTCTGGAATTCATTTGCACTGGGCATTAGAAGTAATAATGCACACTTTCTTTTATTCATGTGGTGGGAAAAGAAAAGAAAACGTGTGCCCTTGCGTCATTGCGTGTCCACCTGTATCAATACCTCACTTGGTTCTCTCAGTGAAAAACTTTGATCTTGAAAATCGTATTTCCAGGTTAACAAAATAAAGCTCTCAGCGGGCTTTTAGCTCACACAGAATAATCGTGTGTTTTTAGTATTGAATTACAGAGTAACTATTATTCTGACCTTGAAAGTCTCTTAATAGAGCTTGTCCTTGCGTGTGCTATATAGCCCTCATCATAAAGCAAGGGATCTCCATTCAGCAAGACCACACACACTCTGCAGCTGACCTCAAACATCTTGCATGCTTCTGAATATAGCTGCAAATGTACCTACTGATGCCTCAGAGGTATTCCTAAAATACCCTAATATTAAAACATCTTTACACCACCTCTCTAGGAATGATGGCAGCTGACTGCAATAATTCAAAGGAAGCTACACTGCTCATGTTTGTGTAGGAAGCCTGACGTTTTTCACAACTGTTTCTGATTTGCAGGAGGCCCTCCTGAAGACTGCAGAGCCAGAAAGAAATGAAGACAAATGATCTGCTGCAGATTGAAACCTTTGAAGAATGGACACATCATGACATGAAACCTCCTGTAGGTGAAACTTGAGCTCTTTGAGGGAATAAATCTCCCCTTTTACATGCCTACTCCGCTTCTAAGTCAGTATGTCACTGTCGGACTGCAAATATGGGAGCAACACCCACACGGACTACACTCACAGCCTCCACAGCTTGCCCATGGCTGAGAACTATGGGAAAGGGCCCGTCCGGACATCGTTTGACGTGAATTCAAATCTGGATATCAAGTGGTCGCTGAGAAACCTGAGGAGCATCTCGAAAGTGAAAGTGGTTAGCTTCCTGATGGGCTTGACTCTGACCTTCCTCATCACGGCTTCCTACATCCTAACGTGGGACAGGAAGGGACTTTTGCTCACCCCCTCACCCTATCAGCTCAGACCTGCGGTCGTCCTGACAAGCACAGCAGCAGCCGAAGCTCCCTCTGGAAATGATTTAATAGACATGAAACTGCTGGCGAAGAATATCAGCTCTAAACTGGAATACACACCCAGGAAGGTGCCTGATGAAAAGGATGTCGTTGGAACGGACTCCAATGTAAGTCTGTGGAAAATTGTTCTGACTCATTTAGCTGTAGAAGGGTGAGCCAACTCAAATAAGGGATGTTTTTGTTATGGTTCCACGCTGCGATCATGCAATGTTTTCCCTCAAAAACAGGCTGGTAAATGATCATTAAGGCTACAATGGAAAATGTTGATCAGAGACCGCTATGATTGCTTTATTGTTTTGTTGAAGAAAGTGAACTGTAAGAGACGCACAAATAACAGACAGCGTAGAGTTAACCCTGCAGTAAATGCCTGTTTGGTGAAGCTCATAATGAGCAGTGTTTGTTGAGACTGACAGAGGTGTTGATTACACTTAGAGCCAAAGTTCGTACAGCTGTTGGGTATATCACGTTTCATGTGTTGCTCAGGACCCACTGAGTGTGTTTACAATGTGCTAATGTGCCGTAATTCTCCTGTGTTTTAGTGTATGTTCTCATCATGCTTCTCCACATTACCCCCAATCATTTTACAGTCTGTATGGCTAAGGCAACTCTGACATTAACACTGAAATTACAATAACGGAGATAGCCACACAAGTGAGTCATTAAGTCAAGCTACCATTTAGTTTTTGATACATGAATATGTAATGTTGAGTCTTTCAAAGCAACCCAATGCAACTAAAAGCTGCAAAATCATGTAATTTGGCATTTAATTATGAATGTTTTGATGATAACTTGTTACTGCTGAGTTTAAATTACATGACTCAAAGACGCCATCTTCACGATCATGAAAAATGTCACCATTTAGATAACTTCATGAAATACTTCTCCCAATCCTGATAGTGTGTTTTACAGTATTTTGTCAAGTGTATGGTGCCTTCATTGGGTTGTTTTCCTCTCCGCAGCTGTTCTCTGTAATTCCTCGCCACTTCCTGCCCGGCATTAAGAGCCCTTGCTGGTATGAGGAGTTCTCCAGTGAACGCAGCACTGATCTGTACCAGAGGAACCTCTTCACTCGGCGCTCAAAGACCTTCAAGACTGTGTGTGACCACCTGAGGACTAACTTCCAGCAGCACTTATTTCACAGAGGAAGCAAAGTGTTTCGCCTACGCTGCTTACCGTACTTCTACATCATCGGACAGCCGAAGTGCGGCACGACGGACTTGTTCCACAGGCTGCTGCTGCACCCAGAGGTCAAGTTCAACACCATGAAGGAGCCGCACTGGTGGACCAGGAAACGCTTCGGTAAGTCGTCAGGAGGGGTGTTTCTTAATATGTTGAGGATGATGGTGGAAGCTAGATTGAAAGACAGGTCTAACTGTTTGTTCAATTAATCAAAAAGAAGGAAAAAGATAGCATAACATACACTGTAAAGTTTAGTACATTAATTGAATAAAAGAAGCAACTGTTTTGGTAGGCGTGTGGCGCAGTGGATAGAGCGTGGGTGTTCGGATCAAGGGAGCACAGGCTCAAACCCCACTGTAGTCAGCATATCGTTGTGTCCCTGGGCAAGACACTTCACCCCCAATTGCTCCTGTGGGGATTGCCCACAGTATTGAGTATGTAAGTCACTTTGGATAAAAGTGTCTAACAAGTGACAAGTAATGTAATTTAATGTATTCAATCAGGTTTGGTCCTGTTAGGATGCTGTTCATTAGACCATTTATTTAAAACACTCTGTGGTTTGAAGCATTAAATCTTGATCAATCCATCATTTCATTTCAAACCTTTATTTAATCAGATTGGTCCCTTGAGATCATAGATCTCTGTTTCAAGGGAGACCTGCAGCATATAGGTTCTACATGAAACATAAAACAATAAAGGACATCATACATTATATTTACAGGTTACATTTACATAGTTATAGACATTTACAAGTGCCCATAGTATCAACGATCATTTCATTTAGCCTAGCTTTAAAAACATGCAGAGGAATGAGATTGCTCAGTTTCAATTCTGGCTGAAGATTGTTCCAAGCAAGTCGCGCTGCGCACATAAAAGCTGTCTTATCTAAGACAGTCCTTGCTCTTGGCACATCTAACAATACTACATCATGCGATCTCAGACAATAGCTGCTTGCAACTCTCTGTGTTATCAGAGAGCAGATATAATACGGGAGTTTACCCAACATGGCTTTATAAATAAACGTGTACCAATGACTGAGCCTCTTTACAGTAAGTGATGGCAAACCTGCCTTGGCACACAGGGTACAGTGATGAGTAAGGGCTTTACAATTTGTGACAAATCTCAGTGCGCTGTGATAGGCGGCATCTAACTTGTTCAGGCAATGGGCAGGTGCATTCATATACAACAAATCACCATAGTCCAGCACAGGTCAAAAGGTCACAGTGA